ATTTATATAGAAAATTTCCCCTATTTGCATCTCTCCAGACTTTAAAACAGTATTGATTATACAGAAATCAAAAAAGAAATTACGTTTTCATCTCTGAAGCAATCTTTGATTTACATTAGGCATAGCAATGGTTTCCTTTAAACTGTTATAACTCATGAGAGATTACTTTCTTGTATGCATATATACAACACTCAGGCATAGAATGTATTCACACAAAGGAGGAATCATAAAAATACCTTTTGTTTACAAAATTTATTACACGTTAAACAAACAGTGTACAATCATTCTGTAAGTATAAGATCCAGATTTAAAAGTTGAATAATATTATTAACTTATATATTATTGATAATTCATATATTGTAAATGCATGACGCATAAAAGGACTGATTGCAACTCGAGTTGAAGAAGGTGAACCTATGCACACCCTTACATACGGCAACAGAGCAAGAGAGACGTGGGCCGACTCCCAGGGCGAGGAACCTCAGCAGGCGCCCCGCTCCGCGAGAGAACGGGGGAGCCTTGGTGAGGCTCAGCGCCCCTTGGATCACGGAGTTCAAGCGCGGCGCGCGAGAGCAGCCCCACGGAGCTGCCGTCGAGGGCCGCCCTGGAGCTCCGGAGCCCCGGGACTCGGCCATTACACGGCGGACGTTAGCGTGGCGGGCCAGGCGGTGATGATTGGAGGTGGTGGTGGTGGTGATGGTGTTGGTGTAGGGCGCGTCTCGGCCGTCAGTCAAGTCAGTCCGCAGGGGCGTGATCGTGTTGCGGTGTGGACAGAGTAATGGCCTCCGCCCACACATCCGCGGACACGGACGCCCCGTCCAAGCACCGTGTTAGCGCCCACCAGTGTGCCACATTTAGAATCCTGATAATTCTGAGAACGCCTGGTCCATCTCATCCGCAATGTTCTTATATTTTTCTTTTCATTAACAAGTTCATCTGTAACAGATGGGTGAGATATTTTACAGGCAGTCCACCGGCTGACGGTGGCAGCAGCAGTGGTCCTAGGCTCATCTTACTGCCACTCGCTTCATCGTTGGTCATGTCGTGTCGGGATAACAGCGTAAACAACAAAACAAATTCATTTGATAATAAATATTTATTTCTTTATGTTATTAAGCCATAGAATACATGAAACCTGTCCTTTTGAAATGAACTTCAAAATCTAGGTTCCTGAATAAAGATTACCTTTTAATAACATTAAAATTACCTATATGGCAGACTTCACCAACGTTATCGAATGATTTAGTGATGATATTGACTCAATCGAAGGTCAAATGCAACACATAAAAAAAAGAAGGAAAAGTAAAAAGATTCTTATAAACTGAATGACATAAGCTTATGAAAAAATAGGTTACAGGCCAGCTGAGGGCATAGGAAGAGAGATGGCAGAACAGTTTGGAGCAGAGAGTGTTTAGTAGCCAGACAGTTCGCTGAAAGTCTGGTCCAGCTCGTCGGTAATGGACTTGTACTTCTCCTTTTCGTTAACCAGTTCGTCTGCAAAGTAGAGATTAACAAACACAGGTCAATTAACACGGCCAAAAAAAAAAGAGTTAGTTCCCAGAAGCTGAAGGCGACTGAGGTGAGAAGAGAAGTTGTTGAGGAGAGTTGGGCGCCGAAGCCGCCGCCGCCGCGTGTTAACACAATCTACTAGCAATCCATGACCAAGAACGACGACGTCCTAGTAGTAGCCAAGAGCTCGCTACTTGTGGTCTAACTGGGAGAGAAAGGGACGATTCTACCCACAGGTTCACTCTCTCCGGACACAAAGTTAACACACCTACCCACTTTCTCAATATTTACATTAGCATCGAATCAAATAAAAAAATTTATACTAATTGTACATGTTATCCACAAAGTGAGAGCCTACTTGTTGAACAGCTGTACAAAGTTACTTTTTTCCCCAAGCCGTTACAACAATAAGCAAACAAGTTCCATAAAAGACCGGTAGATGGCAGTATCATAGCAAGAGGCAGCCAGGCCTCCGACACAGCGGACTGGTGGAAGGGGAGGGAGAAAGGGTAAAGGTGCGGCTGGGCCCCTGCACCGAGACTATGCCCGCCTTCTAACCCTCCCAAGACCCTGCTTTTGACGGAGGGCGCACCTGGAGGCCGGAGGGAGAGAGAGAGAGTATACTATAAATATATCCGAAACGCCAGAAGCCACATCAGGAGCGCCACTGCATCGGCACAGAGGAGGTGCAATGTAAGCTCCTACTACCGTTTGCTCCTCCTGCAATGCCGTGCGAGCCTGCGTTCCTGATGGGGTCCCGTGGCTGCACCATGACGCGTTGTGGGGTCTCCTCTCAAGTCTGCCGGCCGTCGGGGGTCGTGGAGGGGTAGAAGGGGGACGGCAGTCGAGTAGGGGTGGGGGATGGGGATGGGGAAGGAAAGAAGGGGAAGTGCACGTGTCGGCCCCGACGCTGACGAAGGCGATCCTCCTCCTCCTCCCTCTTGCCGACTACCCGACTAACGGCGGGATGTCGGGCGGAAGGGAAGTACAAAACAGAAAAGGGAGTAGAGCAGCTATTATGATGGTGGTGGTGGTGTGGTGGTAGTAGTAGTAGTAGTAGTGGTGGTCATGGAGAAGATCGGGAAAGTTATGAACTAGTAGTAGTAGTAGAAGTGGTGGTGGTGGTAGTAGTAGTAGTGGTAGTAGTTTAGTAGTCGTCAGGGGTGGAGAGCTCAATAGCCAGACATTTCGGTGAAGGTCTGGTCCAGTTCGTCGGTAATGGACTTGTACTTCTCCTTCTGAATGACAAGTTCGTCTGCAAGGAAGAGAGCGGGAGAGAGACTGGTTAGTACGGAAGAGGATATCAAATACACTTACGATCCTCAACCCGATGGCCTGACTTGTTTACTGCCCAAGCCCGCGATCGGAGTTGAGAATCGCAACACATTATTGTTAGCACCATTCTGGATTATTAGTTCGCTATGTACTCACACAAGTATGCACTCTCGCAGGATACCCGGCTAGAATCGGCTACTGCACTCACGGATATCCTGACGAGAGCGCGTTGCTAACATGCTGAACAAATCATCTAGTGCCAGAAAGTCTTTCCCAGTGAATAATAAAAAAACTGGAACCCGTCAGTGTGAATGATTCCCTTTCACCAAGATATTATCAATGTCACGCTTGAAGTGATATAATGGCATCAATTTGTTTTAAGGTGATTACGATTTTGATATCACTGTCCCTTTTTCATCTTTACTGTATAGGTGGAAACCGATATCCGTGTATTCTGACACAATTGTACCAACTGTGCATGAGATTCTGGAAATATAGCAAGAAAATCCCTTGTACCCAAATTAAATGATACAGTCAACATACAATTACTATGTAAGCACTGGCCGTGGAAAGAGTGCCCCGTCACCCAGCAAAAGAGAAAAACATAAGTGTAGAAGTGTTCCTTTGAAGAGTGTTACGAAGCGTACGCCCCTCCAAAAGGAAGAGGGGGCTGTTAAGTATCGGAACTTTGTGGTTTATGATGCCAACCTGTGACTTTCTCTGCTTCTTCCAATGTGTCCTGGGCTTATTATGTCTACATATTCTGGATGTCCTGTAGGGTGGCTTCCATGTCTGCCTGGAGCAGCCTATTCTTATCTTTCTCAGCTACTAGATCGTCTGCAAACAAAACAAAACACACACACATGCAAGGTTAAATGAACAAACAAAAATTAATAAAATTAAACCGTGTATGAATTATCTATATTAAAATAATACCTACTGGTCAAACTAAGATATAAAGTACACACAAAAAAACAATATCAACATAAAAGGGTGTTAAGACAACAAACAAGTTACGGTAAAAAACACACACTTATAACTAAACAACAATGATTAGGTGTATATGTATATATAATTCACACAAAGTAAATAAAAAACAACACCATGCTACCAAAAGTAAAAAAAAAAAAAAAAATGCAAGCTAATTACTACACACTCGTCCTGTCAACCCTGTGCTTTCTGGATCAACTGTCTTAACAAGTAAGTACAGGGTTACTCGTATCAAGTCCGGTCAGCCAGTACAGTACTTACTCAACTTGAAAGCTATTTAATATGGATCTCTCATAAAATACACACACCCAAGATACACGCATGTATATTTAGATGTATGTGTAATTTTTCTTTTTCACCTCACTGATTTTTGCATGTTTTTCCCGGTCCTGTGCAAAATGAGAGGGCACTGTACTGGCTGTACTCGAATCCATTCCGAGACTTGTGAGTAAAGCAACACGTCGGGCGTTTGGTCACTAGTTATGATAAAAACAAGGTCAAGTCGGGTCAATAAAGAGCAGGGAGACAGATGGCGAAGGGGAGAAAGGGTGTTGAAATCGGTTTAACCTGTCAGGAGGATGTGAGGGTTTTTCCCTGACGATTTCACCATCCATTCAACCTAGGTCTCAACTGCTAGTCAACACATCTTTAGTTACTTAGAAAGTGTAGTAACTGATATTTCCCATTGGGCGAGTTAACAAAAAAGACAAGTTAAAAATAAATTCTGTGTTGACTACAGTTTTTTTTTTCAAAGAGAACCCTTGGTAATGAACGGAGTGTAAACTGTATTCAGAAGGATAGTAGTAGTCCTCAGTTGTAGTGAACTTGTACCGCGAGAGACAAGCAACCATAACGGAGGTGGTCCTGTGGTTCGAACTTCTCAACGGGTTTCATCCGTTGCGTGTCCATGTGAGAGAGAGAACTGGAGAGTACCTGTCATCTGGCGAACCTAGAATTGAACTGGGCAACGTTCATGCAGTGTGGAGAGGAAATGGGTGCAGTGAGGAGCTGCACGGTGCGTCTCGGGTGGAAGCTAAAAAACATATCTTTGTAGAAGTAGGAGGACGTCAATCTATTGCCTAGGCTCAGAGGCTCCAAGAAAATCAAAGCAAAACCAAAACCAAATATCTCTATGAAATCTAAAAAACTCGGGACAAAACCCAAGTAACTAAAGTATCTTGCTAATCGGTCACAAAAAGCATAACTATCGTTGCTTTAACAAGAGTCCCTCTGAGCAAGGTAGCTGAGTCTGGGGGAGGAGGAGAAGGGGGGGGTGACTGTACCTAACATATCACTTTCTTCATTGGTGGAGAAAGTGACAGCAGGTTTCTATGGTTCTCACACTAGAATGCAGTCTAGTAGTAGCATGAAAGGAACCAATCGAAAGTGTGAAGGCACTGTGGGGTCAGAGACAACAAAAAAGGGGAAGTTTTGTCCATTAATTCAAAAGGTAAACCCAAAAGCCTAAGCTTATCAAGATTATAACTTATGAGAGGGTAGGAACGAGCATAAAGGCTTAGCAGAAGAGAAGGAGAGGAGCGTGCAAGGACTGTCCTCCCTCGCTCTCTCGTGAACTCTTCTACAATCGGTCTGAGGTTTCTAATTCTTAAAAAAATATAAAAAGACAAGAGGGGGAGGGAACTATTGGGTATGTTCAGAGCTCAGGGTGAAGAGAGGAGGGCAGCTGGTCAAGTTTAAGGTCATTATCATCATTTTTTTTGCAAGTCGTGTTACTATTGCTGGTCTTCCGAGTCTCAGCTGACGGACACGTTTAGCAGTGCGCCGCCATAGCCTGTTCCCCTCGGCGTCGGATGAGGCCGAGGGAAGGCGCGGCCCCTACGGTCACTGATCCCTCACTAAGGCAAGCTCGAGGTTTTCCGGTTTATGCTTTTTATTGACAGAAAACTATATACTCCTGCTTGTTAAGAGTCGTCGGACTCTTAGTCGGGGCTACAACCACAACAGAAGAGCCGAGAAAGGGGCTCTCCGGCTACTGCTAGGCCTAGGGCTACAAACGGTCAGCGAGAAAATGGGGCTACTGTACAGGACTATATCCTAGAGTAGTCTTTCTCTTTATCTGTCTAAGCTAACTGCAGCACGGCTACCTACTCCTCAACACAAATATTCTCACAACAGTTTGAATGTCTTGTAAAGAAAAAAATAAAACTTAGAGAAATGCTAAGAACTTACTGCTTTTGAAAGATAAGTTAAGAAACTTGTTCATTAAAGATTACAAAATAAACAAAACGGTTACAAACAATTAAAGATTGAAAGGTAGAGAAAAAAAATTGCTGTTGTATATACAGTAACTGCAAAGATTAAACAAAAATTACAGTTCAATCTCTGAGAGAGAGTAAAACAAAAAAGTAAAACAGACACTAATAGAAGGAGTGTTTAATTGTATTAGTCTAACAGGGGTTGTTCTGTCACGAGAAGGGGAGGGGGTGAACTGGAACATGTGTTAGCAAGGCGAGTGGCTCGGCCAGACACTGCTATACTGACGGCAACAGTCTGCAGTTTTCTCAATTGTCATTCTTCATGGCAGGAAATAGAAGCGAAAAAATTAAGATTAACTTAAAAAAATTAATAAATGTACAACGAAAGCTTGTTCCTCTGGCGCGGGGAGAGAAAAAAAAACACTTGTGCAGATGTTAGGCACTGGCAGCAGTGGCGGTGATGCGAAGAGAAAAAAAAAGAGTAACAGCCAATAGGAATGATGCCGATTCTAGAATAAGAAGCCGATGAATGAAAGGTGAAACAGAGTCGATCTCCGCAGTAAAGTTGCCACTGGTTTCGCATCTCTATACATACAGGGATATGTATAGAGACGACTCTAATATATACATCCTCTGGGGCGCCGACGGCCAAAGTGAAAGTACTTATGTGAGTGTAAACATGGCGATAGCAGTGCCGTAGTCGATCAAAAGGGGTGGGTGGGTCACGTGACAGCTGGGCGAGGGGGTGTGACGCTCAACAATCAAGTACAGTCTTTATTTTTCGTCGATATTTTTTATTGGAAAGAAAATGAGTGAAATCTAATCAATTCTCTGGTCAATTTGAATTCAAAAGGTGGCTTCCTCAAAGGCTAAATAGTGGGAACAAGTTTTTTCTTCTCAAAATATATTCTGCTTTAAAATGAATATGAACTATTACCACGTTCTCATCAAGCAAGAAAAAACGAAAACAACAAGTCTGCTACGTTAGAATCCTTAATCTCGTGTGCCATATTTCCATGGCCAATTCAGAGCCACGGTTGGAACTTGAGCCAAAGTATTAAATACAAAATAAAAACAATTCACAAAGGACAATTTGGGGGATACGGGAGGAGACCAAGGACACCGAGCCTATTATTTTTATATGATCGTTACAACACGGTGACGACGTTACATAACGTAACATAACGTAGCAGTGACAGACGAGGGCACGATAAGTTCTGGGAGTATACAAGTAGTGTTGTTGTGTGTGTGTGTGTGACTTTGCGGTGTGAGGGTGAGGTGTAGTGTGCGTGGCTGTGCCTGTGTAGTGAGTGTGGTGTCTGGGAGTGTCTATACGCACCTTCAAGCCTGTCGACCTCCTTCTGGAGCTTCTGCACAGACCTCTCGGCGAACTCAGCACGGGCCTCAGCCTGGTGGGGAAAGACAGGGCACGGGGTCAGCGTCGGGAAAGGGACAGCGGGGAAGAGAAAAATATCACGTATATCCATTTCAAGATTTCTAGGGGGGAAGCTTTGCAAGATGTTCCTCCCCGAGCATATGCAGCGAAGTTACAAACCACATACGCTCACAGGGAAAGTATGGAAAGAGAACGGATATATAAAACATGACCAAACGAAGCAACTAGCACATACGCACCTGCTCGGCCAATCGGCACCACAAACACCATCACCTCCAGACTTAACTTACAAGCAAGACCCAGCGGCAGTGCGAGAGGGTCTTGGGGCCGAGAGCGCAGGCCGGGCGGCACCCAAGACCCGCCACAGGCTGCACACACCCTTGGCATGACAAAAAGCTGAGAAGTATGACCCCGTAGAATAAAAGCTGGTAAAGGCTCAGTCACGAAGAGAAGGCAATGTTCCTCCACCGAAATGAGAACGAACGGAAGAAGTGCCCAAGAAGCAAAGGAGTAGGTCATAGAAGAAATAAAAATAAAAATTCGTGGTAGGCATGATTACCAACTGCTCGAAAATTTCACGCACAGTAGTCTTCCAAGAAAAGTATCTAGTTTTCTGACTGCTATGAAATAAAGAGGAGAGGCTTCTGCTGGGTGCTTCAGCTTGCAAACGCTGAAGTCCCACGATTACAATTCATGAGAATTAAAGAGAAAGCGGGACAAGAAGAGAAGGGAGGGGCGACAGATGTTAAAGAGGCAATCCCAGGCCTTAGAACCACCCAAAGAGTATAGTTCAAGCGTATCTGATTTCTGAAAGTGCATCTGTAGATTGTTAAAATAGGAGCTTCCTGAATATACTGTAAATAGTATGGGGGAGCATTGGTGGACGCGTGCACATACCTCTTACATAGGAAATGTGAAGCATGAGCGTGCTAGACCAGACCGTGGATTAGTAAAAGCAGAGTTCATTGATTTCTTATCTTGTAAGAGGTAAAGGCAAAAAAAAATTTCCATGGCATTGCGTCCCAGTTAATGAAGAGAGCGAGAGAGCTGGTCACCCAAATGCACAGAGAAGATAAACGAGCAAATTCCAGAGAGAAGAAAGGAGGAGGCGGCATCGTGGTAAAAAAAAAGAAAGGGGGGGCGTTGGAAGTACCTCTCTCATGCGCTGGGTTAACTCCTTGATCTGCTCCTCAACGAGTCTTCCCTCTGTGCAGCCTAAAACAAGGGGCAACAGGACGCACGGTTAGGGTCATCAGGAGCTTTTATACACAACACTCAGCCACAGGGAAGGCAATTAAAAAAAAAAAAACACATTGGGGTTAACGAAGGCGGTGACTGCTTCAAACATCCGTCGAGGTTGGCTGTGCTGTTTCAAATGCTTTTTTTCCAGGAGGTTTTACTCGAGGGTTAAACCGAGGCAGGGAAGAGAAAAGCAGTGCTCTACTTTGAAGAAGAGTCGCTCGAAAATACACACCCACACAAGCACACATTCCCCTAAGTCGAGAGACAAGACTGGCAACAGGATCAACCACGAGGGGAAACGCGCATTCTGAAGAAGAGCTGCATTTCCAGAGAAGTGTACCACCGGGTCATCTACATTAACGCATTCACGATTAGGCAACGCAGCGCAGAGAAAACGGGTATAACAGGTTCTCGACACAGCCTTTCGCTGCCCGTCCCCCTCGACCACCACGTCAGAAAACCTTTACCTCTTCCCAACGCGTCGATTCCCACACCGCGAACATGCCAACGCCGTCGAAAAAACACAGACAGGAAAAAGCACCCCTAAAAACAAAGGAAGGCCCGACTAATTTACTAAAAGGCTACTAATCCAGGAAAAAATGACAATCTACGCCCTGGAGACGAAGGCAAAAAATCAGTCCTAGCAGACAAAGAGAGGAGGAAAAGGAAATGAAGCTCGAGGTCTTTTACGTCCTTGGGCCATTACCTCTCTCAAACTTTGTGTGATACTTCTCAGCTGTGTGTCCATCTTGTCTTCTCTTTGCGCAGACTGTCAGCGTTTTAGAGAAAAATGGTCTAGAGTTAGTATTCAAAAGAAAATCACACAAAAACTAATACCAATGGAAATGAAATTAGGTAAAAGAAAAAAAAAATTACTAGAATGCGGTCAGTCGCTACACACACGCACACAAACACACGGAGTTAAGAGTCGGCCAAAGCAATTGTAGAAGTTTCATCATTATGTAATGTGACGTAAAACAAATCTAAAATTAAAAAAGAACGCCGCACGTATTGTGCTTCCATCTAAACCGTGTAAAAAGACAAACTTTCTATAATAGCTTAGAAATGCCGACGATAAAACATCTGTTTTATCGCCAGCACTTGAAATAACCGACAATTCGAAAAGAAATAAAAAGACGTCAAAATACTCGGTTAATAATTCTAAAGAGATGTTATTTTGGTAGCAACACGGCGCCGCAGGATCTGGCTGGCCTACATCTGGATTATGGTATCTGTTGAGATACCAGTAAAAAAAAATGGTAGGGGGGGGATAGGAGGGAGGAAGAAAGAAAAGAGAAGAAAGAGCGAGAGAAAAACCACAATTGTAGGTCTCTCTCTCTCTCCTTCCATCTCTGAATTCCATCTTTCTCTCTCTCTCTCTCCAAACACAACATCTAAAAACAATAGGAAAAAACATCAAAATCTACATCATCCGGGTTGCAATATCATCATCATCATTATTACCCTTCAGCTTCGTTGGTAAGTGTCTTAATCTGCTCCTTGTAGGCTTCCTCGCTGGTTGGCCTGTTAGGAAGGGTTAATCTCTTATATATCAAGTAAGAGAGAGAAAGAGAACCTTGGCGAGACGTGGGCATTACTCTACCCATTACAAAAAATAAATTTGAGAAGAACCAATTCTGAGAATAAATGAACAAAAACCATTCGAAGTGAAGTTACTGATTAACCATTACTAAACCTTTTGAACTTTGAACAAAATCAAAAAGTGGTTTAAGCTCAATACACGAAAAGTTGAACCCCGTAACGTCATCCCAAGTTATAACTCGAAGGGCGATATTTACCTTCTCCTCAGACACCTCAAGGACTTCAGGTTGTTGCCAACGACACGCAGCTCTTCCTCAAGCTCGACGATCTTTCTGCAAGTTGCAAAGGAAGGAAGGCGCCCGTGAGAAAGTGTTTTCGTGTTGTCTTGTATAGCAGGTATGGGGACTTCCTTGATAATTTGGTTGAAAATAGTAGATTATAATTATTATGCATGAAGTTGAGTATCAAAGATGATTATTATGCTTGAAACTGTGGATAAAAGTTCAATCTTTGTTCTAGTAACACTGTACTATACTTAAGCTGTTTTCTCTATATTCAACAGCGAAATGGCTCTAAACTATACAATGCTGACAGGAGATTGGCAAAAGGTTAAACATGCTGAGACACCTATAAGAAGAAAAACAAAAACAAACAAAAAAAGATGGCCCGGTAAGTCAACGAGAGCGAACGAGAGAGAGAGAGAGCGAGAGAGAGAGAGAGAGAGAGAGAAGGATGGAGAGAAAGAGAGCGAAGCCCACTCTCCTTATCCTCTCTCCATTCCCTTCCTCCCCCTAATCTCTCTCTCTCTCTCTCCCCCCCTCTTAGTCTCCCCCTCCATAAATACTCACCCTTCGGCCGCTTCTGCCCTCTCCTCGGCCCTCTCCAAGTCGTTCTCCAGCATGACGGACTTACGGGCCAGCTGGAGGGTCCCGAGCCAACAACACAGCATCACCAAACACAGCAATCAAACAAAGGCACTACAGTTACTCCAAGTGTTTCGTCTCAAGATCATGCAGTGGTAACAAGTACTATAAATGGTGGATTATATATATAAATGTAGTAGGTAGGTGCTTGCTTGCCGTATATATTATATATAAAAATCACAGCAAACTGAGGACTAAAGCTGGAGAAAATAGGATATACTTTTGAACAACACGAATGACCCGTGTGTGTCGAGAGCGTCTTCGCTATGTTTCCCAGACTATGGGAAGCTCTAAGGAAGCCTCTGCCTGCTAAACACACACAGAGGAGGCCGTGCAATGATGGAACAAAAAAAAAAGGTAAAGCCTCTAAGAGTCTACGATTTCAAATAAAATGAAAACATGCAGTCTTAAAAAAATAAAAAACAATGAACTCACTCAATGTACAATATGATAAATACACAAACGAAAAAATAACAAGAATAAGAGAAATAAGAGAGACGGAGAAAGCAGAACTCCACTCCCACGAGGCAGACACTAGAGCTGAGGCAAACCGTATTAGGCACAGATCCCAAGGCCATGCACACCTAACAAACACACCTCTAGGCTGAACTATGGACCCTCAATGAACACGGTGACACTTCCCCCTCCTTGAAAACGAACAAACTACCGTCCATGATTTAAGTACAGATGAACAGGAGGGGGAGGAGTCAGCGGTTGCATTTCGTTCGACTCAGTCTGCCACTTTCTCGGGGTGGAGGTCGACGGAGCGGATTGTCCTCGCCGCTTTACGTCTCTTCTTTCCTTCGAGATGGATTCCAAAGAGTGACTTTCTTGAATGCAATGATATATATATTCTTCATGAGAGGCATTTACTTTTGAGGTTATTTCCAACGTAAATATTGCGAGGAAGATCCGCCAGACAAGAAAAAAACTGTTGCTGTTGCTGCTGCTGCATGCACAAACACACAAACACACTGGTGTCTACGGAACACCCTCTCCCCCTTTCCCTCTCCAGAGGAAAGAATAAAAAGGAGGAGGGGGAAGAGGGGGAATGTTCATAATAAAAAAAGAGGAGGGAGGAGAGGGAAAAAGCAGGCAAGGCTCCCGACCACAACATCGGGGACGTGAACAGCCGACACTCACGATTCACCAGTCTCGGCACGCTCCTCAGCACGCTCAAGGTCGGCCTCAACCATGGCCAGCTTACGGGCAACCTGCGGGTGTGGGTTGAGAGGGACAGTGAGAGACAGCCAGACAGACACGGACAGAGAAAGACACGAGAGACAAGACAGACAGACAAAGAGCAAAAGCGCCCGTTTGAAAGAAAGTGAAGGAGTCTTCACTTGATCTTACACGAAATCACTGTGAAGGTTGAAGGTTGGTGGTTTGATGCTGCAGTGTTGATAAAAAGGGTAATTAATTTAATTTGAATACTGATCACCTTGGAGGGAAAGTTGAAGAAAAAATGAAGCATCTTCGAGAATTATATCTGATTCTATCGATTTTTTTATTATTATTATTTTTTAGCAAGTTCGAGGTAATGTTAGTTACACAAATTCTTATAAACACACGTGTTAACGAGAAATCTAATACAGATCTAGATTCATGCTAAACCTATGGTATTCATTATCATTTCTTTTTGGAAGGGGGTGAACTTGACTATTTCGCATCTATATTTCAGTGGAAATCTATTGTTAGTCAACGCCAAGAGATCATTAGACAAGGACCTAGAGTCGAAACTAAAAATTAAGTAGTCAAGAGTTATTCTACTGGATACAAGAAAGTCAAGATTAGATGAGGAAGAAGGGAGAAGAAGGCTGTAGTAGTATGGCCGTCTTGGACAACCCAAGTCCCTTAGACGCCATAGAAGAAACACACAAGAGGACGTTAGCTGTATCTACAAGACGCGGCCGGCACACACTCCGCTCGCTGGCTGGACGTCAACACACGCGGTTAGCAAATGTGAGAGAGGAGAGGAGGAAAATGAAGAGAGGAAAGAACGAGACACACGATTAATCATGATTATTATTATTGTTGCTGTTTTCCCTAAGGGACACTGCCTCCATGCGGCAATCACCTCGTCGTATTTCCTGTCGGCTTCCTCAGCCAGGAATCGAGCCTCCTTGAGCTGGTTCTCCAGGGCGTCCATGCGCTCCTCGTCGGACAGGGAGCGGTTCTCGAGCAGCACCTTGCGCATGCTGTGGGGGGGAGGAGTAAGCCCAGGGGTTAGCGGGGGCAGAGAGACGCAGAATCTCACATGACTTATGGTGCCTGCTCGCGCTGCTCTCCTGCTGCTCGCCCCTTCGCCTCTGCTCTTGGGAAACAAGATTAAATCCCCGCGGCAGAGGGACGCGCCTGCGTATGGACGACCCAGGGAACATTTTGCAGGGACTTGCTTCCTTCTACTCGGTGGGGAAATATCCCCTTCTGAAAGCGTGACTTCCCCTGCTGCTGCCTCCCTGGGTCGTCCACCTTCCCCTGCCGCGGTGCGCACCGGGGTGGGCCCACTGGCCGGGCCCCAACCCCTACGAGGGCCCGTGGCCGATTGTCAACCCAAAAGGCTTCGCAACGCTCGTACCTCTTCGTACTTCTTGTCAGCCTCCTCGGCAATGTGCTTTGCCTGTGCGAGCTGGGCCTCAAGGATGCCCACTCGGTCGTCCTCCATGTTGGCTCGGTTCTCCAGGCATTTGCGGGCTCTGAGGGGGAGGGGAAGATGGAGGGGGAGTGGTGGGGTCGACGGACGGACGGACGGAGGTTTGGTGGTGGTGGTGAAGATGGTCCCAGGAAAGGCAGCGTCCAAATTTCAAGAGAGGAAGTGACAACACAAGTTATAATTATGATAGTGATTACTGACTAGCTAGCTGACTTCTCTTAACTTTAGCTTCCCTAGCATTGGATGGGTAAAGATCAATTATTCCTTGGAAATTACAATAGAGATCTAACCAACAAGATGGCTAATATGAAATAAACCCTTCTTACATCCCCATAAAAAAAGCTAAGCTAAAATCATCATCACAGAACCTAAACACTACAGCGCCACGTCCGTGCGGCGGGTGGCTGCTTCGCGAGACTAGCGACGAAAGGCCGAGAGTTTGCACTTACCTGTCGTGGCCTCGTCAACCCTGAGCAACGGGGACGAGCGGCCACGAGGCACCGCCAGTAAAGGGCTGCCACAACTCGGGCAACGTCATGTTAAACTACTATTTTCAAAGAATTCCTATATATATGCGTATCATATTCTCTTTTTCGAGACTCTATTCTCTCCCCTTTATTTTTTTGCATTTCTTTTGTGATTTTTCATTTTTTCGTTTTTTGCGATTTATTTCCGCGTGTTTAAACAAGCAGTACTAAGGCTCGGCTGTGGGTGGCCGTGTGTAAGGTGTGCGAACAGGGCTGAGGGCGACCCCAGCGGGCGCCCCCGCCGCCCCCGCCCCTCTCCCCACACGCCGCAGCCGTCGCCGCGGCGCTCGCCCCCGCCGCTGCCGGTCCCCGCCCACAGCCGCCCGTCGCCGCCCAAAGCCCCCGACGCCGCCGAATCCTCCCGGGAGGCCGGCGGTGCGCGGCGGTGGGCGTGCGGGCGCTGGCGGGCCGGCGCGGCGGCGAGGCAGGCGTGCGCGCCCGCGAGGGGGTGCGGACGGGTCAGAGCGCCTCCTGCGCCGCCTGCTCGGCCTGCAGCGCGGCGAAGAGGCGCTCGACCTCCGCCCCGATGTCGGCGATGCGGGAGAGGAGGTGTGTGGGCGCGGGCGTCCTGGTCGTCCAGCACGGATACTGACCGCTCGGACTCGTCGGCGGCCTGGGAGGCCTCAGCCAGCTTGGTGGTGGCGGTGTTGAGGCGCTCCTCAGAGCGCTCCAGGTCCTCCTCGAGCAGCTGGATGCGGCGGTTCAGAGCGGCCACCTCGCCCTCAGCCTGCAAGGAGAAAAAGGAGGGCGCAATCAGAGTACCGCCTTCGGAGAACCCAAGTGGGTGCACACAGCCGTACAGCCGTCACACGCACACATACAGCTCACATACACACACACACACACGCACGCACGCACGCACGCACTCCCACACACACACGGGCACGCACACGGCCTCATGGACAGCCTCGCTCGCACCGACTCATTCACGTGGACTGAATGGGATGATTTCGTGTGGCAAACGTTTTACTGAAGCAAATAATAAAATAGAACCATGATTAGCAAAAGAAGGCAATTCTACTGAGAGCAAATGCCAAAGAAACAAAAAGTGAAAAATAACTTATCATAGAGCAATCAATCTACTGATACTTATATGCAAATAAAGGAGAACAAATTATACAGTGAAACAAAGAACCGTAAAGTAATATGACAAAAAGCATTATTGGAAATTATCAAAATATATATTCAAATATTCATAAAACAAAGGAAAAAAGGGGAGGAAGCACCGCCGTTAGATTCGCCAGGAAGGAAATGCAGCAACTGTGTTTACTGGTACGAATACAATGCAAAAGGAAGGAAGGATAAAGAATGAAAGGAGAGAGAAGAGGAAAGAATGAGAAAGAAAAAGATACAGAGAAAGAGAAAGAAAGATACAGAGAATGAGAAAGAAAGATAGAGAGAGAGAGTCAAAAACAGTAAATAGTTCTTCCAGCCCTCAAGTGCCTGGCGAATCGTAATGAAGCCACTTCCTCCCCAGGTTGAGAGAACACAACTGGTGAATTTTATTAACAACCAGAAACATTTTTTTTTATTGGGACAAAACATGATAGAAGGTAAATTTGTATGGTAACAGAACAAAATAATGCAGAGAAGAAAAAAAAAAAAGATTAAATAGAGAGAGACAGCACGTAAATTAAAACAAGAACCACTGGAAAATAAAATAAAAAGAGAAATCACATTATTAATCAATCCTTCATCCATAACAAACACGTCTTGGCAACATCAGGAGTAGGCTAAGGTGTTCAGCATGACAAAAATATATAAATGAATAAATCTGGCCTCGTGTTCTTTATTATTATTTATGTCACCAGATTCCTTTCCTAGAGCTGGATGTAGGCCTATCTGCGGGGAAGGAAGGGGGGTACTCGGAGAAGAGTGGGTATCCCCACCTCCTCCTCCCCTTCCCGATCCCTATCCCTCTCCCTCCTCCCCCTCCCACTCACAGCACCCTCGAACCAATGGAAAATGCAGAAATCGTTCGCCAACCCTCTTTAGGAGTTTCTCTGGGCATTCGACGCGTCCGGTGCGTGGTCACGCGGTCACATGGCCATATAGACACAGACAGGCGGTCACATGGCCATACAGACACACGGCCACGCAGACTCGCTGGGCTGGCGGGCGGGCTGGCGGGCGGGCGAACACCTGCGAGCTCGAGTCCAGGTGAGCGCCGCGCCGAAGCCGAGCCGTCGAGCCGCGTCGAGTGGAGTCCCATGACCCCGTCGCTAATCACCAGGAAACGTCCCAAATTCGGGGCCTCCTCTTCTCGCTCGACGTCGACGGCGGCGGCGCGATACGGACGTACACGCATTCGTGCACATGCCGCAGCGCACACGGCCGACCCGTCCTACATGGCTCGCTCACAATTTCTGCATTTTTCGGTCAGGGGCGCGGCGGCGGCGGCGGCGGCGGTCGGCCGTCGGCTGGAGGGGGGAGAAGGGATCTGGAGGCGCCCTTGGGGCCTGTGACTCATACAGGGACTCCCTTGGCTGCCCTTATAAGGAGGCCGTCTTCTCATTGATTCCTCGCCGCCGCCTTGTGAGGGAAGACGGGGGGAGGGAGCTGGGGAGATGAAGAGGGAGGGAGGATGGGGGTGAAGGGAGCGTGACCTCGCCGGAGTGAATACGGGCAACAACAGTGGCCTCCCTCGCGCCCGTATACAGCGGGCGGCCACGCTCCCGCTACAGAGAACAGAGGGAGGGAGGGCTACGGGATATTCACCATCCCCACTCCCCTCTCCCTCTCCTCTCCTCCTTCAATCTCACCCTCACCGAAGCCTTGGCCCCCAACAGCTGATGGAGCTCCACGCCCAGTTGGAACTTGCGTGCTGGCATGACTTCTGCATCCCATTCTCTGGCGCGGGGAGCGGGGCGACCGAACCCGGCTGCCCCGTTACCTCCTTGACAGAAAATTCATAATGAAGGATGGACACTCGATATACACCAAAAATTACCACATGTTGCTATTAAATCGTAAGGCTGTAACGGCATTCAGATTATCCATACATCTTCGTTATTCTCGACGACAGATAACTCGTAAATACATTCGGAAAGCCAATTAACTGTATACACTTAAGATGTTGCATGCGCATAGGAGGCAATGCATCGCACGCTCTCCTTTAGCAACAAAGGGGAAAGGGAGGGGGGGGGGCAACAGCCACGGCAAACGACACCAACCCCCTCCATCAGGACGTCCAAAGACACTCCCAAACTCTCCAAATATCTTTTCACCATCTTGCTTTACTCCGACCTATTTACTCTGACAAATCCAAACCAAAACTACCCCACTGATGTTACAGGCTAGAGTAAAATCGTACCCCCACCCCATCAAGCCGATTCGGCTCGATTCGCCAATCTCCGACTGCGTTCGCAAGAGGTGATCATTGGAGAGGAGGGAACCCCAGGCTGCATCGGGGAAGGGGGTTAGGGAAGGAGGAAGGAGGAAGGGGAAGAGAGGGGGGCCGGGGAAGTCATGAACCCTCGCGGTCGACACTTGGAACCTTAAAATGGAGCGAGAATCGAGGTTAAGTGTCAGCATTTAGTGGGAGGGGAGGAGGAAGAGAAAGAAAGATATGAGAAAGGAGGGAAGGGGGGGAAGATATATATATATATATATAATATATATATATATATATATATAGAGAGAGAGAGAGAGAGAGAGAAGAGAGAGAGAGAGAGAGAGAGAGAGGAGAGAGGAGAGAGAGAGAGAGAGAGAGAGACGGGCATAGCTCGGCCTCGGGGCAGGCAGACGGCCGGCAAGAGCAGCAGCAGCGCGGCGTGCGCGCGCCGTGGACGGGGAGGTGCAGGAGGAGCCCGCCCGGCTGAGGTGGGTCGTGTTGATCGCCCCAATGCCCGGGTAGTGGCAGGGTGGGCACGCACGCTCCATGCCCATGTTTGGACGCACCCCCACCACCCTCCTCTCGCTGCTGCCGCTGCCCCTGCTGCGTGCCCTCCCGCCCCTCCGCCTACCTCCTCCCCTGCCCCCTCCCTCGGCTTTCAAGTGGCCTCATGACTGTCTCAATTTTGATGAGGCCCGTTCATTATGCTCTCATGGCTGCGACGGCCGAGGAGAGAGATGGGGAAGAAGGGGGGGGGGCCTGGTCTCATGTCCTCATCACCTGACCTGCCTCGTCTTCTGCTCTTCCCTTCTCTCCTTTCCTTTCCCTAAGTGTTATAGAGAAAGGAGGAGGAGGAGGAGGGTGTGAAGGAGCCATCGCCACCTTCCCTTTCACCGCTCCTCCTTTTCCTCTTGAGAGTGTCAAGAGGAGGAGGAAGGAGGAGGAGGAGGAGAGGAGAGAGGAGGAGGAGAGAGGAGGAGGAGGAGAGGAGGAGGAGGACGGAGATCGCGACGGCCGAAGGAGCGAGTGTGTAACGGCGCGGAGGCCCAGGGCGGACAAGGCGCTGATAGTGAGGCGACCAACTGTTATCGCCTTCGGAAGTGTGACCCGCGAGACGACTGCTGCTCGGAGACTCGTCGTCGTCACAATCCTCCACCCTTTCTCATCATCATAACCATTCCTCTCATTACCATTATCATGCTCCTCTCATTATCATCATCACTACTTATCATATCCTTTCTCTTCATCACCACCATGATCCCTATCACATCACCACCCTCTCCCGCTCTCTGGTCCCCGTCATCGTGCCGTGGCTCCGCATGAATACCAAAAATGCAAATCGCCAATACCTATTCAATCATCCCGGATCAGCTTTAGGTATGACAGCAGCTCGGCAACAATCGCCGTGAAGGTAAACAGCTGTTCGCACACGTCATGCTCGCTCTTCTCTCTCTCTCTTCTCTCATCTCTCTCTCTCTCTCTCTCTCTCCTCTTCTCTCTCTCTCTCTCTCTCTCTCTCTCAGTCCCTCTACTACGTCTTTCTCTCCCCTTGACTAACCAGCGGTCGAGTCGACCACATTACGTTAAAAAAAGGAAAAAAAAACGTCAACCTGTACGTCAACCCCTTAAGCTCCCGGCCCGAAGACGTGCGACGGTAAACATTATCGCCGAACTGCGCACTTTAACGTTTAAACATCTCTCGCCTGCAGGATCTAAGCCCTCGTGACCGGGCGAGGAGGGCCACGCACGTTCCTCGCCCGGCGCCGCGGAGGAAGGGCGAGAGAGGGGCGGAGGCGAGAGAGGGGCGGAGGCGAGGGGAGGGCGGAGGGCGAGGGAGGGCGGAGGGCGAGGGAGGCGGAGGGCGAGGGGAGATGCCTCCTCGCCCCTCTTGCCCTGGATGAGAGAGAGGGGAAGAGGGGATAAGGGAGAGGAAAGTGGTAGCTAGAAAGATAGGTAGATAGATATATAGGCTGGGGGAAATTTTCCCAAAATTCGCCCGACACGAAGAGAAGAAGAGACAGAGATGGAGTTGGTGAGGAGGATAAGCATTCGTCATTCGGGGAGAGGGGGGAGAGAAAGAAAGAAAAAGAAAATTCGGCTCACACTCACTCCTCGTGACTCCCGCTCCCACTGCCCTGCAAAGGAGGTCGAGAAACCGGTGCGCGGGGGAGGGAGAGGGCAGAGGGAGGGGTAGAAGGTCAGTAGTGAAGAGGAAGAGGAAGGAAAGACGAATTGAGGGAAGAGCAGGGGAGGAGGGGGAGGGGGCGGGAAAGTGGGCTGAGGCTGTAATCACGAATCATCACTAATCACATAATCATCGTCATCACGGCCATACACGCACACCGCCACACCGGTTGGCTGGCGGCGACGGCGGGCGGGCGCGACGGCGGGCG